GAAACAGAGTGACCCGTTTAGGGCGGGGAGGGCACATAAAGGGAAATTATTCCTTGCACCTATGCGACCATATCCTGATGGTAATGCTGAAGATTTGGGAAGGATGATTACGGACGTGTTTCAGGCAGCTGGAATTAACGTTTGGAGATCGAATCCTAATTCGAGTAGGTATGTACTAAGGCCCCTCGAAGTCGGTGTTGAATTAGGAATTGCATTGAGAGCTTGTGTTTGGACGTCGGACAGATCGTTTATGAAGCGGTATCGTAAAAATGGAGAGAAAAAGACTATTGTGAAAACTGAAATAAGTAATGATGAAGGAGAATCGAACATTCTTGCCAATTAATTGCATTCATTGTAAATCTTTTTAATTTGGACATTTGGCTCTATTCTATATAATATATACATGTTAATATATTAATATACATAGCATCTACATTTTTGTACATGTTTGCAATGCGTTAAATTTTAATAAATTATTGCATCATCAGCATATTGTAATAGTAATCTTACATGCACGTCAAGTTCTACGTTGCACACGATTGTCTTGGCAAGCTGTGTAATAAAACAATAATGCATGACGACTTTTGTGTGACACGTATCTGACCATCTCAGTCTAGAACTCTGTTTACTCAGTCCAGAACTGAGACAAGTCCCGAACTGAGGTACATTCCCAGGCGACCAAATCAATTGTAGGTCTACAATCGCATTTGCAGGCTATCTTGGGCGTTGTCATAACAGCAGTTGTATCAAAGCTCACTGTAACGTATTTTCTCAATATCGTTGCTAAAATCTACCAAATGAAACGGTAATTCTCCAAGTTCTGTTGATAGACCGCATCTTAACTAATGTGTTCTGATTTATATTAAAGTTTTCTCTCATGCTAAAATTATTCATGTTTAATGAATGAGCTAATAAAATCCCTGTACTTTTAAATAATATTAATATGACAACTTTTAATATTTTTAAATGAAAAATAATCAGGTTTTAAACAAGGTTTAAAAAGTTGGGATAATGCTCATGAATATGAAGTAATTTAAAGGATAATTCGGAATATTTAAAGTTTTCAGGATTACTATTATGGAAAATACACGCGACGATTGAACCGAAACAAAAGTGATAAAATATAATAATAACAGATATGGCATGGGAAAGATGTAGTAATGAAACTATACTAATATGAAATCATAATTAATCATATTAATAGGCTGCATTTCATTCTCAAGATAAGCACTGAAGTGTTTCACCAGTAAGCTCATCAGTCATAGTCTACAAGGTTTGTAACTTTATCCTTGGAGAAAGTGGTCACTTAAATAATAAGCATCAGAATGATATTGTTTGCTATTCCATTATTTTTGCCAATGCCGGCTAGAGGATTACTATTTTGTCTCGTAGACATTAATATAAACAACGGTTAGGAAGGCTTGCGGGGAAATATTATTATTATGTGGAGTTTTGCGTTCTTTATTTGTTTACACCTACGATTGAACGCTAAAGGTGTAGGGGAAATATTATGTGGCCTTATTTTATTAATCGTATCAAGGCTAATGGCGCGGGATCTGTTTCGGGTCCTTTATTGAGCGCATGTCTCCTATTAACTGTTTCAGAAAGGAAACGCATATAGATGGGTTTATCGAGTAAATACCAAATGCTAATTGGAGCAAGTTAGTGTAACAGCATACGTAATTTTTTTTTTTACACGATTCAATGTGAAGCACATTTCTGCTACGCTCCATGCTCGGTAGGTTGCATCATCCGCCAGAAGATTTGATGAGAAAATTGAGAAATGACGCATCTATCGTAAGAAGCTTTTAAAGGGGACAATAGGTATTTGCAGTTGCTTTCATACGCTTCATTTTTGTTATGATGAAAGTAATTTACGCACGTTAGAGTGGATTATTGATCTTCGTTTTGGAGTATCTGTCCACAGTGTTAATCGTCAAATAGTCATAGTTACACTGAACTTGACAGCAGAATAACTTGTGTTTACGAATTTCTCGTACTTGATGTTAACATTAATAATTATCTTTATAGTTCGACGGCTTTGACAGAGAGCAATGCATGAGCTTTGTCATTAGTCAAAAGAATATCATCACTCAACACTTGCTAGGTTGCGACAGCATCACCATCGTAGTTAAGCATATCGTAACACGGTAAATTTGAGATTCTGTCCATTTTCCATGTTAAGGAGGTAGTGCGGAAGTGTCGCCGCCACGGCGTGTATCAAGAATGAGCGGTCACTGCTTAGAGGTGGTTCTCGTGTGGTAGAGGAAGAAGGCAAATCCTCGGTCGATCCCAGCAGATTCTCCTGATGAACTTGGAATATGTCATCTGAAAGGGTCGCGAGTCGCAACAACATCAGAGAAATCGTTGTGACTGAAAACATATAGTTCGCCAAGTTGTTATCGAGGACGTCTACGCATCTTATCAATTTAACCTTCTGCTGGGCTTTAATAAGTTTTTCAACGAGCAAAAAAACCAAATTGGCAAATCATCCAGTCCAAATGCGAGCACTTCCATATTTCCAAATTCATGCGGGATTTGATGCAAGAAAGAAATGATCTCGAGTTGTATATCAGATAGCGTAAGTTCTTTGAATGCTAACACGAAAGTAACGGTGATTCATTATTGACAATAATTGGGATAGTTTCAATTATGATTGATGCTCTCATGACTCAACAACCCGTAACTGAAGCAAATTGCCATATTGATTATTAAATGCAGAGTATATAAAATATTTTATCAGGAAAATCTAATAAAATAATATATGAACGTTGACATATGGCATTTTAATTTGAGAATTTGAACATTTCTTCACAATCGTAAGTTAATCTTTCCGCAATTTGCGTCAATGTAAGGTTCACATTCTCGCTCGCCAATTTCCTACTGTTTCACCTTAATCTCACAATATACGAATTGTATTTTTATTTGAGCTGTTAATATCTACTTTCGTGACATTCAAATTAGCATGAAGAATATATGCGAGAAATTGAGTGCTAGTTGAATGTTATTATTACATCAATGGTTGGGTTAACACAAGTTTACGCGTCCATCGTCCAGAGACTCCTTTTGCATCTTCTGATCCTCACATCATATGACTGCTACAGAGAAAACTAACTTGTAGTATCTCAAATACAAGTTAACAAATTTAAGTTGACGAACTGCAGTTGCAAAGTCGAATTCCTCCTAATCAGATAGACTTGGTAGCGAGTCTGTAATTGGTATGAACAACGAGAGTATGTAGCAACTCTAGCCGATGAACTTGGGAGGTAAAAAATATATTTCGATCGATTATTTTGATATGTAGGCTCGCAGTAACCGCGGAAATTTTGCGACATACTGGAGCCGTCTTTTCAATGCCTATCATTCTATAACAAGTTGACCAAGCAGTCAATTTCCTATTTACTTGGCAAGGTAACCAATTAGTTCGTTCATCTTATAGACATACACATAGCGTAATGAATAGGGTGAATCAGTTAATAATCAAAAGTATGAATATTCCGTTGATAAAGAAGTAGACCTCAACACAATGGTTAGTAACAGCCCCGTTCCCCTGTAAATTATCAATTCTGCATACGCGTAATATTAGGAACAAAAATTGTTAAATTATTAGCGCTAAATCATTTTTATGTCATTATTGCAGTTATTGCAGCAAGATCTGACAAAAATAATAACGGTATTCGTCTCTGAATAACAAATTAATTTTCTGCAAATGAAATTGGGGGAATCGTTGCTTGACGCCCAACAAGATGGTTTCTTTAACAAGTAGTGAATTTGTTATTATCACCATTCCTTTCGCTAACTAGAACAAAATTATCGGGCATTGTTACTAGCGATTTTTGGACGCCTTCATTTCCAAGATGGGAAGCGCGCTTTATTTGACGTAACAAATCTGTGGCTTTCAATTTTATGACGTTATGTTCACATGGCGTTACATCATATGATAGATGAAGATACAACTATAGTTTGAAGATACAACTATAGTTTGAAAATACTGTGGGCTTGTTCAATTTAATGCGTTACTTGCTTAACATCTTCATTTCCTACAAAGCGTCTATAGACTCATGTTTGACAGTTCAATTTTCTATGGACTTGTGCAAATCGATCGAGATAAATACAAGTTACACGAAAGAGATTTATAGCCCTTTCTAATTTGGAAACGCTATCATTTTCCCCCAACCCCAGCCCATGTAACTTTCGCATACACAATGTAGTAAAATTTCCTTTTGTGTTGTAAACAAACAAACACAAATATACGCATTAAGCAAACTAACAAAGAGAGTCTATTTCACGTAATTGTTATGTTATGATCACGAGTGTTGTTAATCAATGTTTATGATTGTTACAACGCTCTCGTTTATTGTAGCGAACCTCAGGCTTTCTTGATGCTTGCTAATGCTGATGCTGATGCTGATGCGCTGATGTCGATATCATAGTAATAGTAACACCGTATTAGTATCGGGCTGAACATTGGCCAAATTATAATTACCCTGATTATCGAACAGTGAAAACTGTCCCACAGAGACCGCATTCGTCCCACGCATTCAACCTGTGTAAATTATTAAAATATCGAACAATTGTCAATTCTTTGTTAAAGACAGCCGAAATACAAATTCCTTTAGTACAAAAATCGTTTAAATACTGTACCTTCCTGTATATATGAACATATAGATAAACTAAGCCCCACCAGAATATACAAATGCACACAACCTTTGCACTTAATGGCCAACCCATTGCTGCCACTCCTTACAAGACGCAACACAACCCGAACAACCACCAAAGTGACAAGTAGATTACTTCTATTACGAGTGATACTCATATGTATTGCCACTACCTCTTTTTTATTCTTCCGTTATGATTGCGAAGCTATCGCGCTGTCTGAGGTACACATAAGTGCTGCACTGGCCACAAGGTTCAATAGCGTCTGCACGCTGAAACTAGTAATAATAATAATACTGTTCATTTATGAACTGTATGCAATAACACAATCTCTCGCTTACTACATGGCAGCTGGGCCTGTAATTCGCAAGCAGAGTGAACGGTCCCTGCAAATAACACTACCGAAATCGACTAGACATCCTACCTTATCATATAGACACCCAGCATTGTACATAGCGGCGAGTGCAAATCTGATCAAACACGCAAAACTGCTGGCAATCTCTTTTACATGGAATACAAGCGTGGAACCAAGTTATGTCTCTCGTCATGTAATGAAAACTAGAAGGTTGATAGAGCAGCGCTCTTCCTCCGAACCGCCACAACAAAAACAGGCAGATTATGATTTAAACCAGCAGGCTGTAATCAAACATAGAAACCCGTTGTCCTCTGGAAAGTTGTCTAGAGATGCATTCACAAAGAGCAATCACGAAACAGTAGTATTGTCGGACTCTCGCAATAACCATACTACTAATAAGCTTCTTCTTGACGACAATGCATCAACTGGTATTATTAACGTGAACTTTCCAGAATCAGACGTAACAGAATCGGGTAAAACAGTATTCAATCGTATTCGTATTAGTGACTATTCTACCGAAATGGAACGAGTGACTTCCAGCGCAATGACGTCAATCGCTAAGCGTCGTAAATTACTAGTTGCGTCTTCGTCCAGTAACGACTCATACATTGCTGATGTGAATCTGGATATAGAACGCAAAAACTGGCAAGGGGGAAAGAACCAGTCTACAAGACATGCATACGATCGAGCTGCGACTAGTAAAATGTCTTCCGAAACTATTGAGACTAAACCGAAAGCAGACAATAACAATTACAATAACCAATTTATTCTGCATACGGCAACACACAATAAAGCAAACATGCATATTGATAACAGTCGGGATGCGTTCCGTATAGTCTGTCCAGACATTGTCGTCGCCCCACCAGGAGATCTGTTTCTCGAAACAAAATGCTTGAAATTGGACCGAGAAATTGATGATGTTGTAGATAGCTTGCGAGTAGTGCGAGAGTTTGTACGGTTTAAAGAGTCTCATGAGCAAAACGATGACGAATTAGAAACGTCAATGAAACTTTTTAAACATCACTCTGCTCGTTTGCAAACGCTGAAGAATCAGAGAGCTCAGTACATGAAGCAAGCAATGGAAAATGTGTTATCACCTGTGAGTTTGGTTATATCGTTCGTAGATGGCGTGCTATGCTTTTTATCATTTCGTTCATTAATTAGTCGATCTAATCTCTGGGTATCGATTATCCATAGGAGAAGACAAAGGTTTCTATTGCTACATGGTTCTTAGACACGTTGACGAAGGCCGTCTATTATACGATACTCGTAGAACAATACGACTCGGATGGAATTTTGAAATTTGGGTGGATTATTCCACGTCGTTACAGCGAATTTGTCAGTTTGTACTCGAAGCTGAAAGGGAGTGTTGAAGGCATCGACAAGTTGGATTTACCAAGTAAGCGATATTTTTTCAACCAGGAACCAACGTTTCTCAGTGAACGTCAGAGTCAATTAGAACAATACTTACAGGTTAGTATAGTATTAATATTGGGGGAGGTGGGTGTCATAGATGTTCATATATTACTACAGCCAAAGCAATTTGTATGCTCACTGGATCTAAATTTATTCCACGTTGCATAGAGCCTAGTGAGTAACTTTGAAGTTTGCGAATCGACGGCACTTAGGTCATTCTTGAGCAAAGAATCTGAATGAAATGAGCAAATTTCGTAATGCCAGTCGCGAAATGTTAGTAATATTGTAGGAATATCCACGCAATGTCAAAGCATTCTTTACCCAGCGAGTATTCTACTTGTACCGATTTCGACTTGCTAAGTAAATTTAATAGTTGCAAAGATCAAGTATAGGGTCACACACACACAACATATTAAATATTTTAATAGTTGCAAGAATAGGATCCACACACACAACATATTAAATGTTACACGCGCGCAAAGCCAAATTCTTCCACAAAGTACGAATTCTTTTTAAAGAAAAGATATACAATTTTGACATACTCGGCAACAAAGTGAACATTTTATTATGCGACATAAATGAAAGGCTGATGTGGCTGAAGTTAACTAATTTGGTTAATAACACTTCAGCTGTAACTTGTACACAAATTTACGTAATTACAGTTTTAATTAATATCACGCCAGAATGTGACTAACATGAAAGTTGGCTGAGATGAATATGAAGTCGTAACTATATAAAAATATAATATGAAATTAATTTATATCAAATCCATCATGGATCCAAGGAATTACAACACAACTAGAAACATTCTAAGGAAAAAATTGCTCCATACGTTTTCAAATCAATGATGCCAGGAATATCTAGATAAGAAAAATCCACTTATGAAATTTACCAAGAAGAACAAAAAATGACAAACAATAAACGAAGATTAATGCCAACACATGAACCAACAAAGAAACGAAAATTTGAAGAAATACAAAAATAAGAAAAATAAGTCAAATTTGTTAAAATTATCTCAATCACAAACAATTTTTGAAAAGACAGGCTTTTGAGTTTTACTTGTGCTCTAATTATACAGTGCGAGTCAAAATAATAACATACAGTCAACTCTGGCTATACCGGCCTTGCTTATTATTATACTGGTTTCGCCTTATATACGGGGCCAATTTTGCTGCACCAAAAAATTGCACATTAATCTCACCCTTTATAGCGATAGTGGCTGAATCTTAATAACTCTGTTTATAACGGCTCCGGCGCAAGTCGCACAAAAGAAACATGTATCAAATTAAACAATCCATCTTTTACTAACGCAGACATTGCTGAATCGTAGTAGCGCCGTTGGTGATGTTATTCGTGAGAGCAGAAAATGGCTTGCAATAAACGATGATGATTATGCTGCTCAGCTTCGCAAGAATCGAAGACCAAAGTGGCCTGCACTTGAGCAAGCCATAACTATTTGGCTTGAAAAACTTCTTCTTGGAAATCAGGAGAGCACTTTATTGCAGAACTTAATAGATCGCCTACCATATAATGAGAAATTGACATATGTTAAAGAGGCCTCATTACATAAAATCGTTGGACGAATATTATTTAATGTTATTATTGTTTATTAGAATTTATCGATATCGACAGGAATATCCCGATTGAAGACTTAGTAAGCGATCAAGAGATAATCAATTTAGTTCTTCAAGGTGATGATGAATCGTCAGATAGTGCTTGTGCTAATGATGAAGAAGAGTTATCGAAAAGCATTTCATACAGGGAAGCTCACTCTGCAATTCAGACCACGCTGATGTTTTTAGAACAAAAACGTGATGATAATATAAAAGTCAGTAGAATGATTTACTGCTAATGCGGCGATTACTTACGTGATATAGAAAAAGAAAAGATAAATCATATGAAACAAGGTCAACTAGATTAGTTCGTATAGCATCAACTTCGAAATAAAAATGGTAATAATGATAATAATATTAATAACCTTTTCATTTATCGTGGCTACACAATTTCCTACATGTGTAACAATTACATGTAATTATAATAATAACGGCCAAAAACTGCCAAACCACCCGCGCCGGTATAGCCAGAGTTGACTGTACATGTTAATGTCATAGAATAAGATTACTGTCAATTACTATTATGGTTACCTCCCCTACAGTGATTGCTAATTTTAGTAACTTCGAGTTTATTGACCAAAAGTGCAATGATGTTACCGAAAATGCAAAAAACGTTGGTTGTTCGTGTAACTTTATGTTTCTAACCATAAATGGGAATATTATGGGCTGTGCGACCTGGCGATTATCAAAATTAACGAAGGGAGACTTATATTAGTCATGTGACTGAATTATTATAATTCTGTTATTTTATTATTATAGATCACAAATTTCACGCTTATTTTCTATACTCAGTCGAGATTGTGTTTTAGATAATTATTTTATTTTCGACTTGCAGCGATATTAAATACAATTTCTATTGTACTAATAATGTGAATGAAAGCTTGAAAACATTACTGCCAGTTCCGACAGGTAGCGGCTTTGTACATAGGGTAGAATAAACATAGGATACATAGTGATTATTGGGAAGACGTTATTATAGCTAGCATCTATAGTCGTGAAATTAAGGGTGTAAATACCATGATTGCACGTTCGAGTATTTTCACATTTTCTATGATGTTCATCCATTCATTCCATCATCCATAAATCCACGCGTAACAGAACTACGCAAAATCGCTTCTATTTATTCGTTTTTTATTCCATCGCTATGGTCGTGGTGGCGCTAACTAACTCATCATTATTTTTTTCCCAAACAGCATCTTTCGATAGTGGAAATACGAGGGACAAAATAAGGCCTTACTTACTGATGATTCTAAAATTCTCAGTGTCTCGGGTAAAACTTTTCTGCCCCTGTAGCATTAGGCACGCGGAAAAAGAAATGGACTGTCAATGGGACTATTGGGACAGAAGAAACAAATTTAGTCTACTTCGTCAATCCGTCAGAAAGTGAGAAAAATAAGGCATTCCTGACTAATATTAGGTATGGCAGGTTACTGATGCTAATGGGTGCACGAGCATCCGGGAAGTCGACAAGAACGTTAAGGTTCGCGGCAGAGCTAAACGAAGAAGTACAGTCGACCTCCCATACAGTCACACCCTCGGGAATGACCAAAACCAGTGACTATAAGGAGGGGCGACTGTATGGGAGGTCGACTGTAGTCATGTGATCTATAGACATAATGTAAAATTTTTTCGAATATTTAGTATATTATTGAATATTTATTTAATATTAGCTTGGTACAAGACTTATAATTCTAAAGTTGTTTCGTAAAATAATTGTCAATTTTTTGTTGACGTTTTAATTCAAGCTCTTCAAGG